GGTGATTCTGAAATATGCATTAGAATTTACTGCTTAGATAAATAATAAGAAATAAGAAAAAAGTAAAATAAAATTGTAATAAGTATAAATGGTGATATATATTTTTGGAATACAAAATTTTTATTTAAATTTACTTTCTTCTCGTTATATCATATCTCTCGTGAAGAAAATGAAGATTGGAACATGACGTTTATGAATTTTATATATGTATTTATGAAATGAAAGTAAATAATTATTTCTATAAGATAGAAAAGAGATTTGGGGAGGGAAGAAGATTGCTAATATTAAAATACTTTATTATTTCTTCTTTTCGAAATTTTATTTAATAGAATTGTAGTCTATATTATTTAGTCTCCTATATTATTTCCAGGATTAAATATTATTTTTAAAGAGGAGTGAAAAAAGCAATACTCGGAAATTTTGTATATGAATTCGTCAGAAATAAAAGAACAGCAAACTTTGCAACGTTGCATTGCGTATTTTAAATTTATTCGATAAGAAAAGTATCGATAATTATTTACTTACTCTTATAACATGACAATTTTATTCTATAATCATGCTATATCTATTATTAATTTTTATTAATAATTTGATTTTATGCCATTATGCGATATGTAATATAGCGCGTGATTTACGCCCATGCCGGGTAGGAAGAATTAGTCCCGCAAATTGATGGTAATTAATCTCACGCGATTATGCAGCGTCCTTTGCGTACATGTCATCGACAGATACGGATACTTCACGAATTAAAAATCGACACGCCTGACGCTCGACAACGAACGAGTACCGGCGCGCTGAAGAGAGATCGTGTTAAAAGGTGGATGTTTGTTGACACAGGCACACCCAGTCCCTAAAAAGGGCGCGTGAGAATATCGGTCGATCTGCTGTTTGAACAGTCCTCCCCGGCGGAGAGACGTTAAAATGATTAAGGGTTGTTTTTCAAGCCGCGTCGACCATTATGTATCACAGTTACGAGTAACTGACAACTTCCCTTCCGGTGATAGAAACAACATGTGATGTCATGATCATCATGGGTGGCACCGAAAATTATTGTTGCATATATTCTTCAATTTCTTATTATTTTTTTTGCTATCGAGAGAAATAAATAATTTTCTAAATATTCTAAATATTGGAAATGGATATACATTATATCCATTAAAAGTATGTAATTATTATTATTAATTATTCAGACTCATTAATTAGTTGGACAGTGTTTTTGAGAATTGCGGGAATTTCGTTATTATTTGATCACAAAGTTTGATCCTTGTACTAATCGTTAATCTTTATTCGACCATGTGAGAAACGGGAAATGAAATAATCTCGGAAATGATAAACCGCGTGAGATATTGTGATGATTGCACTATTGCGTGAAAGCAATATTTGTAAAACGCTCTTAAGAAAAATGGGCTTGGCCGCCGAAGGGCCAGAAACAATTTGCGACTACGCCAACAATAGACCGATTGAGTTCGATACGTTGAATACCTCTCGCCTAGTACAACGAGCTCGCCGACAAAGTATCAACAAATATCCCCCGCAACAAGATTGCGGCAGATGCAAGTATCAGCAAGGATCGCTAGGGGCGATCAACATCCCGTTTTGTAATAAGACATTTCTAGAAAAATCTCGAGAAAAATATATTTTTCGTAATTTCAGTCGTGAGCATACGCGATTTGAATATCCTCCATTCGATGTACAGATTGTACGTTGTAAATAAATTATTGTTTGGATCAATATTATTTTGACGTATTACGCAACATCCCTTGAGATTTCGAGATCTTTAAGTCAAGATACACCGTGAATTCGACAAGAAATTTGTGGAGAGAACCAAAGTATTCACCGTATCACATCGGATATCGTGTTTTAGCCTTCTTAGCCTTCGGCTGGACAAGAAACCATTATGTATTTCCCATGACTTCACGTTCCTCACATCGCGTATTTCCATCTCTCACGGGATAACATACGAGCCGGGCGGCGCGGCGTACAATCGCGTCTGTACTGGCAGGAATCGATATTCCCGGGCACAATTTACCCTTTCGGTTTTACAAGTCAATTCAAACTCGTTCGTGGTACATTAAATCCGCCCCCTGTTCCGCGTTCTTTCCGGTAGCCGTCATTTCACACGGCATGGTTCGTGAAGCCCACCGCTCGCCGTTACGGTGGCGAGCCGATCAATGGCGAGCTGCAAGCTGCACTTAAGCTCGAGATAAGAGATCCGCCCGTTGGGCGATTTTGCGGTGAAATCGGCAGGAAGGGTTCGCTCGTTCGCTGCAAGGTATAACTGCAAGTGACCACCTCATAACTTGCATCGTCCGTTGCAACAAAGACCTCCAGGCATTTTTCATAATAACGCGCGCGTGTCTAGATTTTGATTCAATTAACAAAAAATAAGACGGTAATTTTATTTGTACAATCACAATAACGAATAAAAATTCAAAAGACGTCCGGCAATTCTAAATTCTGAAGAATGTTTTAAATTATTTTAAAAACTCAGGATATTTTTTAAACATTATATTTTCGTCGTTATTCAGGTATCTCATGTTATTCTGAATAATTATCTGATTGTAATTTCCCACAATCGGTATTGAGAAGTAATAGATATATACAGTTAGGATAATACTTATTAATTAAAAAAATATATTTTTCGCGCCAAGTTAGTCGCCGGTCGAGGTCTTATTATCGTACGTAGCACGCATATTACATGCAATTTCTAGATTCTCACGAGCCACGCCGTTGTTTTCCATCATTTTGCTATGGCTAGCTAATGCAGGGACCGTAAGATCTCGAGATGGATATCGTATTTCCTATAATGCATGGGTCGGTTGCACCGCTGAATTCTACATCGCGCACGAACTTGTCTTTTACATAGGTTATCTCAAGAGACCTGGAAATCCGACATGAGGTGCGAGTTTTTGCGACGTGGCGAATATATCGAAATCACGACGATTCTCTCGAGAGCGAAAAAAAAGTGTTGCAACGCTCGATCAATTTTATAATAATGGCCCGTAATAATTTTATTTAACGGTGTTCGCATATTTATTTTTGTTCGTATTTACTTTGTTCTGCGCCATTGTGCTTTTACATATATAGATAATAATTTCATTGATCTTGTTATAAAAATCTAAATTATATTCTTTATATTTACAAAAATGTCTATTAAAATCTGTATAAGAATTATTATTACATATCGTAGTCGCGACAATATTTTATCATTCCATTATTCGATTACGAAACCTTAAATAAATTTAATCTCGGAAATCTCGAAGGCTCCGAAGTTTCCCTTCCATCACGAGTAAATAGTTCGTCGTAACGTAAACACGTCCGACCATGCCGATGAATGAACCGGTCGGCAGGATTTCTGCTTTAAAATTCATCCTGGCCGCGCGCCAGACAATTCATGCATATTCACGTGACTCGCGCGAGCAGCGAGAATGGATGGCAAAGAAGAAGGATGGATCGAGAGTGACGGCGAGGGGGGGGGGGGAAGAGGAGGAAGAGCAAAATAAAAAGAGGAACGCGTCGATAATCGAGATCGGACGTGGTGGAGTGCGCCGCGTATGAAGTTCAGGCCGGGATGCGGGACCCGTGATTTCAATTTTAAATGCAAGTCCGCGCGAATCGCTTGTACGAGAGTAGATGCGAGGGTGGGATGAAAGTTCCAGCCATTGTGCTCGTACGTATGCGCATTTCTATAGGTATACACAGTCCTCCGGTATCGTCGAGCGGGTCTTAAGCCGGCCCCGCCGCGCCGCGATGCTGCGAGTCTAGTCATCGTGAAAATGCAATGAGATGCACACGCGATAGCGGCGATTCTCTCTTGTAGATCGAGATGATAAGTTCCAGGGGGAGATCGCGTGGGGAAAATTGGTTTGCGTTTCGATTCATGCAATTTACGTTACATGATCCGTGTATTTTGAAGGTTTATTCCGAACACGAATCGGTGTTTGAAAACCTCATTGCAATATGTAAATTGTGTCAATTTGTGCTTCATATAAATTCATAGTTTCAAAATGTGTGTCTTATGTTATTTCCGGAGTAAACATGAAAAATTAGTATCACGTGTATTTAACAAAATAAAAATTGATTAATATTCTAACTAATATTAAAATTCGTGTTCCTTGTTTAACTTATTTGTAATTCCTCGAAATTTGAACGAATATCGCCACAAAATTAATTTATCGTTTATTACACGAGAGAGAAACGAGACCAAATAAAAAAAAATACGATGCTCCGCTGTAAACGTTACGACAGCAATTCGCGAACACAAATTTCCGACAACGTATCAATTATTGCTTCTTTCTTTCACCGTTTAATCATGCGCCACGCAGGGGGCAATAACGTTTCGGCGCGCAGATGAACCTCGATCAAACGAATTAAAAGCCTGCTCGTGCTGAACACGGTAATTGGCTGTAGACGATTACGAGATAAGTCGCGCTAATTTCGGCGGCAACACAGCGGAATCGTTCCGTTTAAATCGCCGGTTCGCCGTCGTCGAATCGACCCACATGCCGCATTATCCCCTTCAGACTCTTTTCCGCCAATCAGTGCTCGTTAAATTGCAAATTAATGCAGACGCGAAGCCGCCGCCGAAAAATTGCAATGCGCGAAGATTTCGTTCGAGCAGCTTACCGGCATTTATCACGGTGCAATGGACTGTCGCCGCACACATTTTTGCTTGCTATAATTGGATAATAGCCCCGTAGCCGTAATTGCATAAATCGATAACATGAAGATTGTTCGCAAAACGAAAGTCTGTGTGAATGTTGTTGCGTCGTATGTTGACAGTCGTTTAATAACATTATCGTAAATATTAATTCTATTATCGATATATTAATGCTAAAAAACAAACATTGCAAGAGACGGTATGCATTTTATTTATCTTTATAAAAAAGGAACACAATTTTATCGTATTAACATATGCAAGATTAGCAAAATTCTATGTAACGACATGAATACTGAATAATAAATAATAACACTATTGAGATGTCATCATGTATATATATATATATATATGTATATCTACTATATCCGTTTAAATAAAAACAAATTAATCAACTAAACATCGACTGAATATCATAATAAGTTTTAAATAACTTTATTTACAATGGTCAGTCATTATTCTTATAGTATCATTGGATTATCCTGTCAATTGATTTGACGAGATAATGTAATCTAATAATTACGAATTGTTTAATTATAAAATAAGCTCATCTTATAGGTTCTAAAACGAAGAGTTGACTATTCGTAGTTTTCTGTGCGTCCTGGCGTCGCCGTCTGATTCTGGCAGCCAGGAATGGTACAAACAAACTTGGATCATGTTCGATATCGTTTCCGCCTTGGATTAGCCGAACTATGATACTCGCCACGTATCCGACTATTAGAGTAATTGTCAGTCCTATAGGGTTATACCAGAGATAGGAGATGCGATACAAATAGAAGTACGACTGATCTGGTTGCACAGTACTGCAAAAAAAAAAGAAACAATTTGTGAAAAATAAATAAATAATGTTTAACATTATCCGATAAATGTTTTGTACATTTTAAACGCTAAATTAAAAATCTTTTTTTTCTTACATTCTGTTTATATTTTCTCCACTTTCTCTTTACTGTTTTGTAATACAAAATGGTTAATTAGCAAAACATCTCCCTTCTCAACGATAATTCGCATTTGAATTACGCTCGCGAGAAATGCATTTCTCATTATCTACTATCTTCGTAATTATTTCAATTAGATCAGATCGTTTATCTTTTTTTACGCTTTTTCGCAAGCGGCCTTTCAATTTCTTACCACGTTGAAAATGGACCGGTCAACTTAAACGAATTCCCGCCGACAAAGAGAAAGCTATAATATATCTAATCTCGCTAATAACGGCGTGGCGAGGATTCCGCGGGACGGCCGTAATTTCAGTTTATTAACGGTGCAATTAGTGTTATTTACCACCGTGGGAATGCCGAATAGCGAGCTTTATCGTCCATGAGAAAGTGACAAGCGTCAAAGAAATCAAGAAGCCTGTGCTTAACTCGTAACTAATTACAGCAGGACGAGATATCTCCACGCGTATAGCAAACATTGACGCTTCGCGAATTTCGAAGAGTCGCGATTCGCGATAAGACGATTTACAGCGCGCCGATAATTCATATTCTAATCGTCGCGTGATACGCGCCATACGTCGTCGGGCCGTTCTTTCTCCCCTATCTGTTTCCCTAAGATAAATTAATGCTCGTTCGATTCGGTCTAGGACGTGCGAGATAAATGGCTGCATGGCAATTGTAAATACGTATTGCATTTATTCCCGCCGCGATTATCGCTGCAATGCTGATATTTGAGCATTGCGCAACGCCCGAGGTAAACTTCTAGTTTAAGGGAAATGTTTTGTCGTGAATGTGGAATTATAGTTGACTTTTGCATTATACTTGAAAAATATATACAATACATTAGGATTAGATGAATATAACTAGATAAATAGAGAATAACAGATTTTTAGAAATCTTAATTAATCGTAGCTGTGGAATCAATTAATGTTTATGCATCTTGAATGAATCTATTTTCAGATCCTTATTTGTAACACGATTTCTTTTACATATATATTTTTTTTTACTAAATAGATGAACGATTTAAATTATGCGGTTTCTGGTAAGCGTAGAATGGTAAGCGCTAATTTCACCAATTTTGGAAACATTCGAAACTTTAGTATTTTTCTAAAATTATTTTAAAGTATTATTTAAATATATTATTTAAAAGAATCTAATAACTAAAAATATATATAACGCACGGCTTCAAATATTTGCAAAGTTTAGACGATACCGATTGAATGTTGATTTGTTTTCTGAGAATATCTTACCTATTAAATTTTATTTGTTCGGCAAGCATCAGTACTGTAGAATTCGCGCAACCTTCGATCGTCACCGGTAAATTTGAAATTGGTGGTTTAGGTCTTCCGAAAGTAGCCCACAAGCAGACGATTAACGCCGTAATCATGCCAATAATAGTTCCCGTTTCGTTAGCCCTCTCACTGAACATTCCGAGAGTAAAAATCCCTAAAATTGGTCCACCGATAGCTCCATGAAAGCTAAAGGCAACGGCGACTAACGTGCCCATTGTCTTCGCTATCAACGCTAAGAACACGCAAATAATGCCATTTAAAACGGTAAGAGCCTTGGCTGTGAAAGTGGCCTTTTTGTCAGTAAAATCCACCCCAAATTTTCGATGCAGTGGCTTCACATAATCTTCGAGCGCTACCGCAGCTAATGAATTCATCATAGCGGAAATCGTACTCAGACTGGCGCTGAAGACACCGGAAACGATAAGACCAACCAATCCAGGTGGCAATTTCTCCACAGTGAAGTAAGGCAATATTTTGTCGTAAGTCGAAATTTTTCCAGAGACAACGGGATCGCAATCTTTGTAGACCGCGTAAATGGCTATTCCAGCAAAGCATGTTAAAAAGCCTACCAGTAAGATGAATGGACCACACAGAAATAGCGCATTCGTGGCCACTTTAACGTTCCTGCAAAAGTAACAATCGATTGTTGCATATATAATAATTGCATATATAATAATAGAACTTTAATCGAATATCCAATATGATAAAATAAAGAATCTAGTAATTAAAATAAAAAGTCTTTATTATTTATTTATTTTTTATATTTTATTTTATTATATTGTATATTTATAATTATTTAGTTAACATTTATAATTATAGGTAACAAACTAAAAATTTATATCTTTGATAACTTTGATAATACATGATTGCTATAGACTCTTTTCTTTGAAAGTATATATGATGAAAAGGATTTTATGTGTATTAAAGCTTTAAAGAAAGAGAAAAGAACGGTATGATACAAACACATACTGTGAAATATGAAATATATATTAACATACTTAACAGTCATTAAACGTTGAACTTGCACCTGATTCACCGCAAGATAGGCTAGACCTATTGATCCTCCTCCAACCAAAAGACTCCACCATGTGTATTGCACAGTTGGGTCTAAAGACACTCTAAATGAAAAAGAAATGTATCAATATTTTTATTACTTTTATTTGCTTTATTATTTTATTCTATTATTATATCTAACTTACTCAGAGAAATTTAAACGACCTCCCTCTTGCGCGATACGCCAAATGGCACCGATTCCTCCATCGATGTTCTGGGTGACAATAAAGATGATGACGGAGAGAGCAACTAACATGAGCAAGCCTTGAAAGATGTCAGTAATCAAAACCGCTTTAATCCCACCCAACGTGGAATAGAAGGTACAGATTACAGCGAGTACCAAAATACTCATGGTACTAGACAAGCCTGTAGTAGCCTCGAGGGCTAACGCAGGAGCGTACAACATCACTCCGGTCAGTAACATCGTCTCGGAGAAATTAGCCGCACTTACGAGCAACCGCATGTACAACCCAAATCGCTTTTCTAAATACTAAGAAAAAGAAGATATGCAAAAAACTATATCTATAACGAATTTCCTAGAAAATATATTCATCCAAGATGCATTTTTTCTAATCCCGTTTAGGATCAGATTTATTAAAGATCTATATAGAAAAAGTTATTCTGCAAATTGGTTGAAAATCTTTGAAAATGTTTGATTGATTCTAATTTTTAAATTAATTTTACAATTTCCGCCATTTCTCTATTTAAAATTTGACTTAATGTATTTGATTATATATTCACGCAATGTTACACGATATAACTGGTTTTCTTCGAAGAGCACTGAATGTTAGACTTAGTAAACGATATTGCGCTCATGCAATCATTCGACAATTACCTCATAGATGCTTACGACCTTCACCTCGAAGAAGACTGGCAGATAAAAAAGGGCTATGATCGGCACGATGAAAAGGCCAGTAGTATACATTAATACAACGATCATGCCGCGGATGAAAGATTCCCCGCTCATTCCGAGCATAGTAATTCCTGATATGTGGGAGGCCATCATGGCGATCGAGAGGGGCAAGACACCTAATGAGTTGTCCGCGGAGAAATATTCCTATCGATGATAATTGTGCGATTAGTTAAACAGCAGTCTTGTACACAGGAAGCATCGTTTATGATGCGCAACGTTTCCAGAAAGGGACCCGCTTGTCTCATAGATAAAATTAAGGAACATAAATCTCTCGATACTCGTTTTTTAAGGAAAATCTCTAATAATTTAACCAGCAAAATATTAGCCAGCAAAATACTAAAATATGATCTGCCTGGATATATAATTCATCCGCGTTCTTAATTAAAATGTCAGTTTAAATCAACTTTTGATAAAATTATGGAAGATGTTATCAGTAATCTTTGGGAAATTATATGTAGTTGGCAGGATAATTATTTAAAAGGATTTTTTTTCCTATAAAGAATATATGAGAAACAAGATTCGCTAATATGTCAGGCGATCAAATGCGTTCTACCTCATGATTACGATATAAGTTTCAATTGATCTATCGCTCGACATTCAAGATTTATACGTTATCGATTAGCGCTTCTCGAATTATTGAACCGAATCATAGCAACGGTTAATTAACACGTCGAACATTTAGAAAATCGGCCGGGACTTAATTTATTACCGGCTCATAATTTACGCGGATAGTAATATTTATCGCGAGATGAGATCGAACGCATACGTATAACGGCATAGATATGATTCGTGCGGATTATCGCGATCGGATTGATTTAATGACGAATTGATCCATCGCGTAGAAATTGATTTTTTGTAAACTGACCGCTGCAGTACTTTGTCGACCACCGCTGAATCGATAGTAGAGTCCGATCATGACAGAGATCGACATAATTGCGCCAATCACAAGATAGTCTGGCCATTGCAACCTGTTAGTTTCGTCTTCGACAAGTGTCTAAATAAGAACAAAGAACAAGTACTCCTTTATTTCTTTGTTGAAAAGTTGAAAAATCGGTAATGGAAATTTTAGGCACAGTTTCTGAACAATTTAATTTTAGAACATGTTTGTGAGTTGTAACAACGCTATAAAATATAGTAACCGAATTATTTTTTTAAATACTTTAAAATTTACAATCAAGATTGTAACAAACCTATTTTGTAAGAAAATTGTTTGATACTTAATTATGTAATTTGTACTTACATCCATTCTGTAAAATTTACACCATTTACTCGACGAGAACTTTAACTTCAATCGTACTACTTAAATTTTGGAAATTTCCACCAAAACAAAAGTTTTACGCGATTTTTCCTACACTTTGAAATCACAAAGAGCACGAGGATCCAAAAGTTCATGAGTGTTCGGCAAGGTCTCACTAACGAATGTGACCGTTTCCCATTGCATGCTGCAAAACGCATGAGAGAAGTTATTACGTAAAGAATTGCTCGGCATCTTTAGCGTTAAAGCACGCAAACCACAGAATTTTCATCGGTAAATTAGACTTCGTAATATGTAGTGGACGTAGTAATATGCTGTTTAATGCTAATTAATGGTCCGTTAAATAAAAAGTTTGTCTACGTAAGTATCGTGAATATTAGAGGAAAACTGAGTTTCGCAAAAAATATATATATTTAAATAAGTTTGTTGTAAATAAATATATGTAAAAGATTTGTTATATAATATACAAAAAAAACTTTGTCAGCGTACGAAAGCTGTGATCAATAGCTGTAATATTAGATACAGATATGTCGGTTGAAATACATTGAATCCCTAACGAAAGATTAGATTGCGATCATATAGGATAAGGCTCAACCTTAATTTAATGTGCCATAGACGATATCGCTCAAGATGATTATCTTTACACTCCAGTCGATGCGATGGATCAATTCACTTAATAGCGATGAAAATGAAAAAGAGACAGGTAGAAACTCCAGATTAATAGATACATTTAATTTCGACGTTAATTAAATAACAAACATAATTAAATCTATCCAAGAAAGTATGTCTTCGCTAACATTACATTGCACAGCATTTATATTTCTAGCACGCGCCATTAAAGTTTTGTTTGAACTGGTTATGAACACGTTTTCTGTTTTTAAAATGCAATAAATGTAGTTCATGCTTTTAAAGACAAGAATTAAAAGATATTAGATAACATAACAATATAATGATAAAATAAGAAAAAAATCGTTTCCGGAAGATATATGAAAGTATAGCGAGCGCGATTTCTGTTACATCACTTATTGTGTCATCGACATAATAATTACCTGCATTATACATCCTGTTCTGGTCGTGTTGTCAATGTTTTCTAGTATTACGACACTATTATTCTAGAAACATAGAATAGATACCGAAATGTACAAATAATGCATGATAGTTTCAGACTTTTTAAAATTATGATTTATGATTAAATATAGGTATAAATAACTTCCATTCATGAGAAACATTTCAGGAATTTAAAGAATTAAATATGTTCCTTTTAACAGCATTTTTTACATGCTTGTGTGTTTTTAGTTCTAAAATAATTTAAAACAAAAGGAAAAGAGAGAAAAAGTTTTGTAAAGTTTGAAAGTATTAAGGAAAATGGATCCATTATTTTGTTATATGCTCACTTTGGCGTGTATTTTCTTGCTGGAATTTATTTCTATAGCTAGTTGATGCGGTATAATGGTTAATGACAATTCCGTTTAAGCGCCGACTAATTTCCGACATTGTTACTGGTCTGTCGACCGCGTTGTTTTACGCGAATAGCATTGCCGATAAAAGAGGGGAAAAGAACTGCGGACAAAAGAGGCACTGGGAAAGAGAAAGAGAGGAGAATAGGATGGGGGAGAAAAAGAGGAACTCGTAAGTGGTGAATTCCCGTCATTAAGTCGTTAGGCGGACGACAGCAGACTAACTGTCGGCTAACTGGCTGCTGAACTTGATCGACCAATCGTTGACCCCCACGGTCAATCGAAATTTACCCGTGTGTTAACCACTCTTGTTCCACGTAATTCGTCGATATTATCCGGATGCGTAGACTGCTTTCGATAATTCGACGAGGGAAAGTATATCGTCGTGTAGCAGCTGAACGGTTCAATTTACCGGGGTTAATGTAAATTTTGTTCGCGAGTCAATTATTTGGAAAGCCACGTGTGCTCCCTATTACGATCTATAATTGTCTTCTTGCATTATAATTATAAGGAACTTTTAAAGAGAGATATCTCGTTTTTGAGATATTTGACAAAAAGTTTTCCAATTCTTTTCTTATCTTAAGAGAACATTTCTTCTTTCTGAAGAGAACGATTCCACATTCCAATACTTGAATAAGTATGCATTTATTTATAAAGTGCATCTATGTAAATTAGTCAAAGAGTGGCAAAGTACTAATTGATTTTGCTCGTTATATAGGCGATTATGGATTCTCAGAAGCATTCGACACACACATCAAGCTTTTTCACACCTATCATGTATATCCAGGCATTAACGTCACCGTCTCGATACAGGTGATAATTAACTTGACGTATATTTAGCCGATCTCGTTGGCATCTTGGAGTTTGTAAAACGCATATAAATCCAGAATTTAGTTTCTCTTTCAATGTATACGAGGCAAGGTATTTTCGACCGTATCTCATTAAATAAATTCAATATACATTAATCTTGTGCCGTCAGTAGCATTTTAATTTTAATCTTTGATAAACTGAAATAAATTTCAGCTTTTCTCGTGTTCGCGCGAAAGTTTGTCTTCAAAAATACATTTTTTTTTTTTAATTAATTTAGATTACATTTAGGTATCTGTGATCACTAGTTTATAAATAAATAATAAATATCATGTAATGCACTGTAGTATGCAGACACGAAGATGTTTTATTGCATCGAGTAAGTGTCAGAAATTACCGTTATTCGATTCGCTTGAGAATGTAAGCCGATCTGATAACGTTCGCGTGCGAGCGAACTGATTCCCATAATTAATTCCAATTATTAATTAATAACGAGATGGCTGATCCCCTGTCTCATGATTGTGGTATTCAACTCAATTCGTGCGTGATGCTACGCTTCGTCTATCGTTGATTTCGTGCTCTTAATTAATCTAACGTGTTTAATACGGGTGAAACGTAATAATCACAAAGGTCAATTCCATATTAATTTCTCCGAACATTTTTAGGAAGATTAAATATGTATATTTAATAAACAATTATGTAAAAGGAGTCAATTATATATATATATATATATATTGGTATGACAAAATATAATGCAAAAAAAGAATGCATTTCTTCTGTAAAATTATTGTTAAGTTGATTCACGGAAAAAATACCTTTTTGTCAAAATTTGCTGAAACAAATTTGCTATCTGTCAGTTGTGATGACATTTGGCATAATTAAATTTACTGTCGTAAAGTTTAAATTGTGATTCAGAATCGTATGATCCTTAAATATCTTTTTCATCTCTATCCGTCGACGAAGCATTTCTACTCACGTATTTATCCTAATCATTTGAGCTCATCAAGTGTCAAATTACTGCTACCCAGCTGTAAATTTTTATCGCGTTTATTTGAATCATAAATATAGAAATCGGTTTATCGTCACGTTTTGATCTATAATTTTTGCTTCAGTATTTATCTTTTTTTTTATTGTATTTAAAGAACCGTGCCATATATTTATACATTGAATATGTTAGAGATCATTATTATAAGATATTATAAAGATAAGTCACGAGTTTTTGTAGACCACATCTTGACCCATGCTGAATAAATGCTTGCATACCGATACATGTAGAATCACGAATGTGTGTAAGCGTGTCTAAATTCAGGTAACGCTAGCTGTCCTCCTAAAAATGGTCATATTGCGTATTGCGGAAGCGTAGTTTGCGTGACTACTCGTATGAATAACGAGCGTTTTGACTTATGTAAAAAGACTTGGAATTACGAATCAGAGTTCTTCTTTACGTACGAGCACATAAATATTGACGTCATCAATATTTTAATAAAATTGTTGAAATATTTAAAGACATAAATTTTGCCATTATTTCTTTAATTTACAACGCATTTACAGTATCAAATAATATTAAATACGCATACACGTATAATACATACTTTGATACGGTACATAATATTTTTCTCACATTAATGTATCGTGGCTCTGGGAAAATTTCGAGTATTAAGCCATCTTAAAAGTTTATTAACAGTAACCGTTAGTCTTCATCAATTAAGTCGCACAAGTGTCAATTGGTTCCTTTGATATCATCGCATAGCTCACCATAAGTCAAAGATGCGGGCATCGCTATGAATTCCAAGACATGACAAAAAAATTTATGGGTCTCTTGAGTGCGATACGTAGTACGTTACGAAAGCTGTCAATTAAGTTAATTAACAAAGTCGTGCGCTCTTCCCCGGTCGAGGCAAAGAAAATGCCTCACATTTTTTACCATGCAACACACATATCGTCAAACGGCACAGACTTGATGCCGTGGAAAAAGTAGAATACGACAAGAGTATACGTATTAAAATTCTTGCATGCGTCGCGACGCTGGTTAACAAAGACTAACGAAGTGTGGCAAGCGACGATTTTTCGACGGTGTATACCGGAATCTGCCGTGATGCACAGCTTAATGGATATTCAGAATCGATAAACTGCCAACGTTAAACAAATTTGCAATGTAATGCAGTTTGACGTTCTGCAACTGCGTCTAACTGTGAATGTCGAATCGGAAATCGGAATCAGTGAAATTCAATATAGCAATTTGAAACGAGGGAAAAGATGCGATTTATTGACTTCGAATATTTTTGTATTCTTATATGCATTTTTCGCGCGATATTTATTTAATCGATTATTTAACTTATTTCAACTCGATTGTGCCGATATTATCAACTTGGAATTAGTGATAGATTGCAAAGATTACCGATTTATCTTAATTACTATGAAGATGACCAGGTTAATATGTTAAAGATGTAATAAAGATTAAAAATATTAAATATTATAACGTGCTATGCATTATTGATTAATTTTAACTAAAAATACTAAAGATACGTGAGACGCTTGAATGCGTTTTTACGTATTACCATGGTTATGCCTTACATTGCGACACGGAATATTCAGATCCGCAGTGCACCTGCGAGTCGAAACATTTCCGACCACCGCACCGGTGCGACGTCACGCAGCACAATCACGCTGTATCGGTTACGTCAAACGACATTCCCGGTAAATTCTTTCTGTCGCAATTTCGATGCCGCGTTCGATATATCGACCGACAATCACTCGCGATCAAGGCTGTACGGGTGTGGTCATTAATTGTATTAAATTACGACGGTCGAAGGAAAAAGCGAGGCAAAGTATACACGAAAGCATTGCATTGATGTCATCTCGGTTGCACGCTCAGCGATCAAATATT